ACACTGGGGCAGAGAAGGGAATTGATCCTGGATCTCCTGAATCCCAGGCTAGTGCCCTAACCACTAGATCATGTTCCTCAACCCCTGCAGTGACCTAGAGTCACAGACAGATACTTTTAGAAGTGCCAGTGGTATCTGAATAGGGCTGGGACATGCCCTGGATATTCCCGGTGCAGTGGAGTGAGCACAGATAACCAAACAGGCTAGGTGAATCAATGCATCATGGGATGCCAATGGGAAGACTAACAGTAAGGCCATGTCTATACTGGCACGATCTTGCACCAGAGCTATGCAAATGAGGCTCAGTGTGGAATATCGCCGAGCCTCATTTGCATAACTAATGAGACGCCATTTTGCGGAAGAGGCTTTTGCGCAAGAAAAACCCCCTTGCGCAAGAAAAACCCCTTCTTGTGCAATGCTGTTATACTTATTTTCAGGCATCACGGCTTTACGCAAGAGGGTTTTCCTTGCGCACGAAGGGGCAGTGTAGACAGCTCCGTCTTGCGCAAGAACCTCTTCCACAAAAATGGCAGCTCATTAGTTATGCAAATGAGGCTCGGCGATATTCCATGCTGAGCCTCATTTGCATAGCTCTGGCGCAAGATCGCACCAGTATAGGCACAGCCTAACAGTGTCGGAGTTATGCTGTGCCCACACAAATGTTTCACCAATATAATTCCTATTGGAACAGAGTTCAGATCAACCCAACTCAACAGTGCAAGTATAGATGCAAGAACAGTTTCTGCTACAAAAAAAATTAAGTTAAACCAGTACAACTTCCTCCCGTGGAGAAGGCCTTAGGAGACTTCCCATAGGGGAAGAGCGATGTAGGACATGGTGCTCACAATTCAGCAGGGGCTTTTATCCCGTCTGAGTTCCTACTGGACCAACGACCCCACGGTGGGAGGTTCTCTGCTGCAGAATGCGCCACCTTCCGCATGGGAGTGACAGATCTACACCACAGCGCCTGCTTTTCGAAGAGTTCAAAGGGCAGAAGCTGGCAGGTTTGTTGTGTCAGCGCTGTGCATGCTTGAACAGGTAGCTACAGATTACCCTGGGCGCTGGGATTTCCCAGGCTCAGCCTGGCATTAAATCCTGTCTCAGCAGTATTTCCCAGAGGAAAACAAACCCCCAAAAGCCAAAGGATGAAGCCTTTGGACTGGCGAGAGAAAAGATGCTGACCCAGGAGTGGGTTGGAAGAGAGGGCAGACGTGCCAGGAGGAAGCAGAGGCCGTGAAAGATGAATTAATGGCAGTAACTAGCACAGGGATGGTTCAAGTTTGGCCTGTAAATCAAGACCACTGAGCTATAATAGAGAGGAGCAACCCTCTGATCGCAAGTTAAATCTGCTACGTCCAGGACTCTCTGGTCCACCAATATCCATAGTCCAGGAGGATCATGGATATTACTGGACCAGAGAGCTCTGGTGCTGGGAAGTGAGAGCAGGCTGGGAGTCCAGCAAAGGGGAGCCCCACCAGCGGGGCCGTGTATCCATCCCAGGCTAGGCAGGGCAGCAGCGGGGCTGGCAAGCCCTGTTCCTGGGATGTCCACAGCAGCGGTGGGGCCACTGACAGCTGGCAAGCGCTGCCCTCAGGAGACCCAGCCAGGCAGGGCAGCAAGGGGGGCCACAGTGGCTGGGGAGCCCCAGCCAGCCGTCTGCACTCAAGCCCAGCAAAAGGCAGGGCTGAGCCCAGTGGCAGAGGGGCTGGAGCGGAGCTAACCACAGAGAGAGGCAGCCGGCTGGGAGGCCAGTGGTAGGAGACCTCTCTTGATCCAGCCGTCTCCCTCATTCGGAACAGGTCAGGTCCCAAGGGTGCCAGACCAGGGAGGTCCAACCTGTACAGTCTGCAGTGGGCAGTGCTCCATCTCGGCGGAGGCAGAGCCTGGCTCAGCTCAAGACAGAGCATCGCACTCACATCACAGGCCTTCCAGCCTGAAAGGAGCAAAGAACGTTAGCTGCAGCCTACGTCCTGTGAAATGTTAAACATGACGCTATTGCTGCAAAATCCTTTAGCGCTGCCTGCCTACCTCCGAGTTCAACCCTAAACAGCGCCCTGGAAGTTTGAGAGATATTAGAACCCTGCAGTCACCACCTGCTCAGGTGCTGGGCATGTCAAAACTTATGAACTGATTTAGATGGGATAAAACCTCGGCCGAAGAGAAACGCTTCTCCGTGTTCTTTTGTCAGAATTCCAAGGGAAGCCGCATTTTGTTTGGATTTAAACATTCCCTGCGTGCGCCTGCCCTGACGAATCCTGGTGCTTGCAGATGCCAGTTAAATATGTTGCACAACCTGTGACAATACGATCCCACCAGCAAACCTGGCCGTGAACCAGCCTTCCAAGGCTACCACATCCCCCCCAAGTGACATGGGCATGTCCGCAAAGCAGCCAATAAGCAGCTAGTTTAGAAGGGGTGGCCAAGGCACAGGTGTTGCATGAGCTAGAGATGGGAGCGGCCATTTACTCCTGAAAGGGGCCACAACCTCTGCACTGGGTAGGGCACCAGAAAAAGGCACAGGGAGTTCTGCAAGTGTCCGACTTTGAATGCAGGGGGTGAGGGAAGAGGAGAAGGACCCCTTTAAACCTGCCCACATCCGTTTTCCCCAAGAGACTCCTGCCTGGCTCCTGCTACTGTTTTCCGGTCTCTGGAAGTGTAGATAAGTGTAAACCCTCATTACCTGAGATAGCAGGAGCAGTGTTGGGCAGATAAGGGGAGCACGCCAGGCTGCAGAGTGGGTGGGAACAAGGAAATCTAACCGAGATAAGCGGCTCCAGAGGAGATAAGAGGAGAAGCCTAGTCACAGGGGAGTCCTCCCAGCAGATTCTCTGCTCCCCCGCTTTTCCCTTGACTTCTGGGCAGCTGTTCCCAGCTCGCACCCATGCAACGGAGAGGGGAGTCAGACCCCCTCCTACTGAGCTTCAGAGGGCAGCAGCAGGACCTGCTGCCAGGCCAGCAGACTGGGGCAAGCCGGGCCAAGAGGTAGCTCCCAGAAGGCGCCTCTTGGGAGGGCAGAAGGGTCGCCGATAACCGCCGGAACAGCCCGCGCGGGACAGCGGGAGGCGCCTTGCCGGG